CAAAGGATTTTCTACTTATTCCCCACATTTTGGGGTGGGGGGAATGGAAAGGATTTATTAGCTATTCCCCAACATTTTGGGGTGGAGGGAATGCAAATGCAAAGGATTTTCTACTTATTCCCCACATTTTGGGGTGGGGGGAATGCAAAAGATTTTCTAGCTATTCCACAACATTTCAGGGTAGGGGGAATGCAAATGCAAAGGATTTTCTACTTATTCCCCACATTTTGGGGTGGAGGGAATGCAAAGGATTGTCTAGCTATTCCACAACATTTCAGGGTGGGGGGAATGCAAATGCAAAGGATTTTCTAGCTCTGACCCAAGGCAACTGGGAACTCAACACAAAACACTTTCTCCCTCCCTCTCCCTCTCTCTTTCTCCTTCCCTTTCTCCGATTAGCTGGCAGCTAACGGTCTCTTGAGCCCAAAAGGCCGGGGTGAAGAGTATTTCTCCCAAAGGCCTGTGAGGAAGGGCCTGGCACTGAAGAGGCTGAGTCCCATTACTCAGGACGAACAGCTAGGGCCGTAACAGCAGAGGCGAAATGGCAGAGATAGATGATTGGGGGAGAAACCCTGGGGGTGAAAAAGTGGCGGTGAAGGGTAGGAGGAGAACAGTCCCATTCTGATCACTGATCTATAGAGACATGCCAGACATGCAGTTGACCATGTAGGCCTGATTTGGGCTTTATTTCTGAGGGCCCAAGACAGACATCACACCTGCATAGAATATATTTATACCAACAGGGAGAATGGCTAGTCTTGGAAATATGTACCACATTCTTTAGATAGAGAGATAACCGAAAGGCATGTAAAGTAGGAGTTATCTGATATAGAGTTACAGTATATTCCACTGAAGCAGGGATCTTCAAAAACTTACAAGGAAATCAGCAGCTGATTTTTAAAATCGCCTGATGCCTAATAAACAAATTAACTTTTAAGAAACTTAAAAACTAGCTATTATTAAAAATGTCAATTAATCTAACACATTTTTTTTGTAAAATTTATGTTTTTCCAAAGTTAATATAGCTAGTATTTACTTTTCATACACTGTTTCTTATGCACAGTTTCCTCTAGGAAAATTATTACTAATACATTTTAAAGAGTATTATCACCCTGCTAGGAAATGTATTAGCACAATGCATTTTTTAGCAATAAGTTAAATTTCCCAAAATATTTTGAGTTCACCTGTAATTTCAACTGAAATGCATGGTGGTTTAAGTATATCATCTGGATGTGGTTTGCAAAGTCCGTGGAAAAGTCTCAAGTCAAAGCAGTCATGAAGCAGCTGTACATTCACTTCAGAACATATACTCATGAACCCAACTGCTACGCCATTATCCTGAAACATCCATTAAAAATGCTGTTAAGTTCCTCCACCCAACCAAAAAAGATGGATTCTTATAAGGTAAGAGAAGATACCATTTAACTTCTTGTACTAAAATTCATGCTTGAAAATTCACAGATGATGTCAACCCAATCCTGGATGCTATCTCCACCAAGATGGAGAAGAACCATATCACCAGTAAATCTCAACAAGATTATTATCTGACATGTAATATAAATAAAAGCCTAGAAGGAATCTGAATTGAAGCTCTGTATAAAAGAAAAAAACATGATAAATAATCTGTTTTGAGTAAGATGGCATGTATTTATGTCTCTACTTTTTTTAGGAGTTGTAAAGGACAGTTAATTGAAGTTCTAGAAGCTTAGGAATCCTTCATTTAGAACCCACAGAAGCCCACAGCAACCTTCTATAGTTAAATCTGCTGCCTACATACAGTACAAAATGATAGGGAGCAATTTCAATCCTAATCAAACTAGGGGTGAAATATTATGAGATATCTTAAATGAATCCAATTTGTCATTTAAAAAACCAGACAAGTAGTTTATCTAGTAACTCTCTATTACTACCAAATGCTTACCTCACAAACTACAGCAAGATTATTTTCATCTTGAGCTTCTATCAGTTCAGCAAGGAAATAGTCTCCATAGGTTTGCCTTAGAGTATCATTATGCCGTAAAAAGATTGGGGTGAGATCATCATGGTCTTCTACCCTACAAATGAGATTATCCTTTTAAGAATAACAATAATAATTTAGGATTCTATTTTTGTTTTAAATAATGTAAGTATAATGGATAAACAAAAAACACCAATAAGCGATAAAATATGGACATTTTGCAAGATAGCATAAAATCTTATGCAGAGATGATGGATGGTTATAGGAGATGCAAACTACTTAATTCATTTTAATGTAAAGGCTTAATACAATAATATGTAAATTAATATAAGCAACAAGAAAAGTGTCTTTCTTCAGCCATTGCTATACAGTACAATCTCAGCTACCAGTATTTGGATTTACATCATAATATGACAGAGTTTTGATTTAACAGCAAACGTAGCACCAAATCAAAGTCTTTCATTCAGATTACCCATCAGCACAACTATCCTTAGTTTTTGAACCAATCCACTGGTAGAATTAATAGTCAAAATAACTGCAAATTCCTTTTTAATCCTATGATTAAAATTAATCATATAATTATATATTGAAGGCTACTGGAACAAATAGTATAAGGGTTGTTAAACAATTTTAAAAATGAAAATATAATCTAATAACTGAAATAGGTACCGATTATTATCTAAACATGAGCACATAACCCTAACCCTAACTCTAAACATGAGCTGTGTTAATTGTCAACACACAAGACAGATTAAATGTAATGCATATTTAAACAAGCTTTGGGTGGATGCGGTCTCATTTGAACTAGGAACTTAAAATATATCTTTACTTGATTGAGCTACATTTATAATAAAGTTTGCCCTTCCAGTTATGATGAATATATTGCATATAAAAGAAATAAATGCCTTACTTTAAGATTCAACAGCAGAAAAATTTCTGGAATGAAATATGATATGTTGTGCCTATGTGGAACAACCAGCTCTGATATAAAATAAAAATACAGTTGTAACTGAATACCCCAGAAGTCATTTCTAATTATTATAACAATCTGATTAGAGAAAAAGTGGGGAGTTTCTGAACACATATGTCATAAAGCAAAGAGAAGGCATTAGAAATCTAGGGGATTTTTAAAATTGAACTGATACAGTATTCTTCTGTCCTATACATAATTGTGCAAGTATAATGAAAACATGATTGCAGGAGATATGCCCAATTATTTAAGGATAGATTTATATTGACTTTTCTTGTTTTCAAGAATATGGTCAATGGGAAAGGTGTTTCTTAGAGTACCTTTACTGTAGTATCAGTAGTGAAAGAAATAGTTCTGCCCTGTTTCAGTTAAATACATACGTTTAAAGAAAAATAAGAAATAAACAGGAAGAGAGACTACATAAAATGAAAAAAGGAATATACAAAGGAAGGAAACATAATTTTCTAAGAAGACTCTTGGCCTGGCCAAGTCAAGGATCATAAAGAAGTAAAGAGTCAGACTAGATGAGAGAGGAACCGATAGGCCTTGTTCTGGTAGAAAAAAGCAATGTCAGGACTTAAAAGACTCAGAGATGAAGCTATGAGGTAGTTTTATAAAGAACATAAAAGCTGTAGCTCTACCTCTTCATTGCACTCAGTAAAGACTTTTACATTATTGAATTCCTTAGCTTCATGCTTGTTCCTGAGCCTGGCCTTCGCCTCTAATTTTTCTGAAGCCAGGGAGCCTTGCTTAGGATATAGCGTAATTTTACATTTTCAGGTTGACAAGGCTTTAAAAAATGTGCTGAGAGATTTTCCCTGAATTAAAATAATCTGAAATTCAATACATTCTGAGTCATCTTCAGAGACCTACTGATTTCAGGAAACGCAACTACCATACTTGCAGTATGTATCAAACTGACTTATTATTCATATTTAACTAAGCTGATAGTTGATATATGACACTAAAGACAAGGATTATTTTCAAATATTGTATTATTGTTATCATTGGTTAGCATTATTGATCAAGGTTCATTAACTATTTATCATTTTATCACTTTAAAATGCTACCAATGGACAAGCATTTTGTTTTAAATTGCTATGAAAACAATGGTATCCAGAAATCTTCCATACTATGTCGAACTGTGGCATACCAAAATTATACAAATAAAAACTACAGTTGCAATATCAATACAATTCTAACTGCATATCTTTTGACTTACACATTCTGCACTAGTCTGAGCATTTTGAAATGGGAAATTTTCTCATATGAAGTCACAAACTAGTTATTAGGCTGCAAATCAATTAGGAAAGTGGAATATACAGATTGGTTATATCAAGGAATATGATTTAGTATCTTAGCCTTGCTTATTGAACAATTCAGGATTTCCAATTTATAAATGTACATGTATATATGCACATATGTATACATGTATCTAAATATACATACCCACAGTATTTATGTGCTACTTAAATTCAAATATATGGTACCACATTGATATCACTTCTTAGTGATCATTTTCACATACCAAAGCATGTACACCACACTCTGTAACTGCATATAATATTTAGAAAAATATGTAGTACAAGATATGTGGGCATTTCATGAGCTATCAAGTAATGATATATTTTCTCTGAATCATATGCTATTATATATTACAATTACTATTTATTAGAAGTTGGAAATCTTTCTGATCCTGAAAGTGGCTTGCCAGACTTTCTACAGAAATTTGTTGGGCCCTTTTTTGAATCACTAAAGCAGCTGCATCTTTTTCCAGGCTTGCACAGTTGCTTCAGGATCTGTTCCCAATTATCTCCACCTATTGTGTGAACATGACCTTGGAAAAGTTTCTAAAGCAGCTGTGGGGACATGGAAAGAGAGATCACTGTTTAATCACGAAAAAAGCACACTCCTCATTCCCAAAAAACTGAATTTGCAAGCTGTAATACTAGTCAGATAAGATTAAACATGAATAATATTATAAAAGAATACCCTGCCATAACTATTATTTTTTTAAAAAGGAATAAAATATGGAAAAAATGGAATACCTTGCCATGTTATGTACATTATATACAATATGATATGATATTATGTACATTATATTCAATATGAAATGCCTGCCTTTTCATGACTTCGTAACTCTCGTAATGCTGGTAAACTAAATATTGGCTTCTCTTTTCTGATAGATTCCATGCTTCTTTTATCAAAAGATTAAATAGTTCTCACTTGTTTCAATAGGAATCCATCCAGTTTATTGGAAAAATATAGTCTTATATAACATATGGCCCAGCCTTTGTAATAGGTGAGAAGTGAGATCAGCTCCCACCTTCCTGGCCTTCAGGAAGAGCCTTAAAACCTGGCTCTGCCTGCTGGCCTGGGCTACTGATAGGGATGCTTTATGCTGAGAGTGGCTGATAGGGTAGAGAGAAGATCTCCTCCACCTCGATGCTGCTTGTCTTGGTTTTTAGTCTTCATTTAATCTTTTGTAATGTTAATCATTTTTGTCTTTTTATCATTTTGTAAGCCATTCAGAATTGCTGCAAAAGTGAGATGGGTGGCATATATTGTAAATTTAATAATAAATAAATAAATACCATGGACTTACTTTCTTCATATTTAGCAATAATGTATTTTGTACTTTTCTTAGAGTATGAAATAAACAATTTATAGGCAGATTACTTAAGAGTTTTTTTTAGTAGCAATAGCAGTAGACTTATATACCGCTTCATAGGCCTTCCAGGCCTCTCTAAGCGGTTTACAGAGAGTCAGCATATT